TCAAGGCAGCTTTGTTTAATGTTCATTGCATCGCAGACATCTAGCATGGGGTGGGTATTTGCTCTCCATTTATACTCAAGGACAGATGTACTATCTTTGGTTGTAGAAGTCACCTCACAGATGCTGCTTTCTTGGTAGTAATCTCCTGCTTGATGACTGATAAGCAGAAATGAGCAGCTGAAGGATTTCCTCTTGTGATTGTAAATGAAAATGAGCATTTCTCTGCTGGTCATGTTTTAAGTTAGTGTATTTGTCCACTGAAGAACTCTAAACATTACTCTGAGTGACAAAGATGTAGAGAAACTTCACAGAGCTTTTCAGCTTCTGCTATCCCAGAAAACAGAGTGTCTTTGGGAGAGCTTGTTCTGCTAACAGCAGGCCTAAGGGAGCACTCAAGCTACTAAACAGCTGCTAGCTTAATGGAGAGGAAGACCAAGGAAGGACCTCCCACATCTGGGTTTTGTGCGTGTGTTTCTACTTTCAGAGTGGACAAGCAAAAAGGAGAGCCCTTCTGTCAATTTAGAGGAATGCAATTAGGAGTGGAATGTGGAACAGCTCATGGTTGAGCTATCCATCATAGACAGGATGCTTCAGCATGGCAAGTGGTCACTTTCCATCATGGTACTTTAAACTCTCTGTAAGTAAAAGGACAGTGTAGCGTTTTTCCAGTGTTTGTGGCTCTTGTTCTGTGAGAGAAGGATGTGAATCCTCCCTGACACGTGGGGGCACACACTGTGTCACACCAACTGCAATGCAGGAAAGTAGTGGTCAGAGGATGAGAGTTGAGGATCAGTGTGAAAGGACCAGAAACCTGGGAAGGGAGTGGGAAGGCAGGGGAAGGATGATGGACAGTGCTCTCTGCAAACACTGCTCACTGTAATTTCTGATGTGACACTGTGCTTTCTGCAGCAGGTAAAACAGCAGTAAATGCATCCTGCTCTCATCACCTGTGAACCTTGGAGCTGTAGCACATCCCCTTCTCCTGGTCAGCCCATGACTTCACCCTCACCCTGTGCTATGGGAGCCTGAGCTGAAGCAATGGCAGTGGGAAACTTCTCCCGGGTGACTGAATTGGTCCTCCTGGGCCTTTCCGATACAAGGGAGCTGCAAGTCCTCTTCTTCACCTTCTTCCTCCTGGCCTATGCCATGGTTCTGCTGGGGAACCTTCTCATCATTGTGGCAGTCAGGACTGACCCCAACCTATCCTCACCCATGTACTTTCTCCTTTGCAATCTGTCCTTCATAGATATCTGCTGCACCTCTGTCACCTGTCCCAGGATGCTGGTGGACCTGCTCTCCCACAGGAAAGCCATTGCCTTTGAAGAGTGCATAGCTCAGCTGTTTTTTCTGCACTTTGTGGGGGCATCAGAGATGTTCCTCCTGACTGTGATGGCCTATGACCGCTACACTGCCATCTGCAAACCCTTGCACTACACAGCCATCATGAGCTGGCAGGTGTGCTGGGGTCTGGTGTCTGCTTGCTGGGCAGGGGGCTTCCTGCACTCCATCGTCCAGACACTGCTCACAGTCCAGCTCCCCTTCTGCGGCCCTAACACCATCGACAACTACTTCTGTGACGTGCCCTCTGTCGTTCAGCTTGCCTGCACAGACATCTACGTCACTGAGTGGCTCATGGCTTCCAACAGTGGCTTAATATCCCTGGCTTGTTTTCTGGTGCTGGTTATGTCTTACACGTTCATTTTGGTCACAATCCGGGTCCACTTCGCTGAGGGGCACTGGAAGGCGCTCTCCACCTGCACCTCACACGTGATGGTCGTTACCATCTTCTTTGTACCCTGCATCTTCATCTACCTGCGTCTCTTTTCTTCCTCCCCCTCTGACAAACATATCTGTGTGATCTACACTGTCATCTCCCCAGTGATGAACCCCATCATCTATACCCTGAGGAATAGCGAGGTGAAGGTGTCCATGTGGAAACTGTGGAAGCGCTGCAAAGTCTTCTGAGACAAGCTGGGTTTGGTTTACAACAGGTGGGCTTTAGTTCCCTTAGTTCACCTATGGATTTTTCACTGCTGCAGGACAGATGAGACATTTCAAAGATTTTCAGTATTCACGTAGCTTTGCAATTATAATTGCAGTTTCTGATGAGAATTGGAACATCCTTCTCTGTACCCCCAAAAAGAAGTCAGGAGGACCAAACTCTTGAGTACAGAGTGACCGCACTATGCAGTGAGCTTTGTGTTGCAGTGAGTGAATGACAAGTTTTATTTGGGCAAAGACCAGATGTTTGAGATGAAATTCTAAGGGAAAAGGAATCATGCTGTGGAATATAGTAGAGCCTCAATAACAACCATCTAAACACTGGATCTGCATGAGTGGGAAATGTTGAGCAGCCTCTGAACATCACTTGGAAAGAATGAAACACCATTACACAGCATAACTTGCACTAACAGTCACTGTTTATTAAGAACCATGGAGAAACTTTTAGGGCATGCTTAATTATTTTCCTTGAACTACAAATCAGAAAGATCTCAACAACGGTGGTCTTTGTCAGTGTTTTCTTCCCCCCACCCCCCCCTTGTTGTCTTGTCTTTGCTTTTCTGTGTTTGTTTCCTCTGATGATGCTCCTCTGTTTCCAGTAAAAATGGATGGACTCTCCCCATCACCACAGCCATTTCTCTGTCACGGTAAGTGACTACAACCTGTTCAAAAACATTTCAGATCCCGTCTTAAACTATTACCTGCTTTTACCACAAGAAAACTGGTTAGAAAGGAGTTCTGGAGCCTGAGTCACTCCTCTTTCCACATTGCTGGGGAGAGAAAATAATTTCCTCTACTTCAGCTCTGAAACCATTGGGTGTGTGGGAGAAAGACTTTGCTAACAGTTTTAATGAAATGATAGTACTAATACTACAGGATAATAATGTACATAGGAAAATAATGAAATATATACAAATATGTACAAATATATATATGAAACCAATTTTAAATCCTCCCCCAACCTTTCCCCCGTGACGATTAAGTCACCAGAGGCTCTGCAGAGCAGGGCACTGGAAAACTCCCAGACTGGACCCAGCAGCAGTGGGAGCAGGACTCAGCAACTGGATTCAGGAACACACAGATCAGGATTGGAGGCAGACGAACCAGCAGGGTTTAGCTCGGACTTCGGCCATTGCAGAAGGAGGGTAGAAGAAGATAGTGAGACCCTCGTGATCCCTCAGCTTTATACTGAGGATGATGTATGTGGGATGGAATACCTCGTTGGTCAGTTTTGGGTCATCTGTCCTGTCGGCTCCTCCCAGCAGGTGCCACACCTCACTTATGATTCCCCAATACGGCATTCATTTTGGGGCAGTGGCCTTGGTATCCATAGGCACAAGTATAAGCAAGAGCCATGTTTACCTACCATACAAGCCCTATCACCTGTAGAAGTGAACACTGTCTGGAAAAACATGCTGTTATTTTCAGAAAGTCCAGCCACTTAGAAGAGACTTAACTGAAAAGTAAAATCACTACATAGAAAAGCAGTTCTATTTAGCTCAAACTGGGACATTCCACCCCTGATGTCATACTCGGGTCACTACTGTTTACACAAAAGTTCAAGTTCATCTAGTTCATGATTGGAGGTTTGCATCTGTCATAGCAGTCTCTCAGGGCAGAAGGGATGGTAAAACATTCGTCATGGTCCGTGCCCACAGGTTGCAGGTTCACCTCAAAATGTATACTGGAGGCCACTTGAAATTAGGTGTGATCATCATCACTGCATCATCCTGAAAGACACGCAGTGAACACTGTTGGTATTATGTAGCAATTAACATCATACACCTCGAAATGGAGCATTTTCACCTAGAGTTAAATTCCCTTGAAATACACATTGTACTTCACCATCCTTCAGCATCACCCACCAAGTACATCCAGGTCCTTCAGTGAAAGCAACCCCACAAACGGGTTTGTTTGACTTTGCTCGTAGCAGGAAAAATCCAAACAGTTTTTCCTA